GACCTCATCTCACCGCCAGATTCCCAAGCCCCTTTGTGCGAAGCCTGAACCTTGAAACGAGCCCTACACCCCAAAACCCTACACCCCGAAACCCTAAACCCTATAAACCCTAAACCCTATAAACCCTAAACCCCTAAACCCTAAACCTTAAACCTTACCCCAAAAGCCTGGAAGATGGAAGCCCTGGAGCTGGCAGGCATTCTGATTTCACCCCTCCCCGCATTGGCGGGAGGACGCTGCCCCGAGCTCGGGACAAAGCTGGGCCTTTAGCCTTGGGGTCCCCTTTAGTGGTTTAGGGTTTAGGGGTTTAGGGTTTAGGGGTTTAGGGGTTTAGGGTTTAGGGGTGTTGAACGGCCAAGCTCATGTTGAGGCTCATCTACCAAGGCCCGAGCCGAAGGATGGTACCCTTTACTATTTGCCGTTTTATCCCGATGGCAAAGAGGGTTTGGCGACTGAAGTTTACAGTTTCCAGGGCATGGGATGGACGTCAGGTAAGGCCTCAGTGTGATTTACTGTAGATTCCAGGGTCATCTGTTGTTTACGATGTCGCTTCCTTTGAGGCTCGAGGTTCAAACTCAGCTGAAGGTTGGGCCTGGGAAATTCTCTCTCAGTTTGGGTGCCAGGGATTCGGACCTCAGCATACCCTTGCCAGTATCTTGATGGCACACGCAACAAGCACTCATGATAAGGACCTCAGACCGGAATTTCACCGGGGCATGTCGTCGTTTCGAGGTTCACACAAAGCAGAGCCCAAGCCACTGAGGTTTCACCGGTGCCTCCCCAGCTAGCGGGAGATGCTTGGGAGCAGGGAGCCTTGCAGTGACAGGGCTCCATGATCATACAAGTATATGCAAAGTGTGACAGTTGGTACTTGCTTATGTCGGCAGGTTTTGCAGCTGTGAGCGTCATGGACCCTTCGCTTCTGCCATCCCACACATAAACCTCAGAGGTGTCTTCTTTGAGCATTTAACCAGAAAAGACTGCATGACTTCGACTCAATTCGCGCACACCTGGCGACTTGCATGACCTGGGTGGCTCGATGCTTCCCGACCCATGCCTGCCTTCCCAAAACACTCGGCAGCTCCCCCCCTGTATATTCTCCATAGTGTATCAGTTGCTGTATTTTTGGAATTTGTATACTACGCACATAACTATCTATCTATCTATATATATATAGAGAGAGAGATAGATAGATAGATAGATAGATATATACACAGAGAGAGATTGTGATATGTGTGTGTATATATATATATAATATGTCTACATAGACAGGTGGATGGGTAGGTAGATAAATAGGTACACAGATCGGTTGATAGATACATAGACAGATAGATAGATAGTAAGTCAGGTAGATACATAGGTTAGAGAGACAGATAGACAGATAGATAGCTAGGTAGATAGAGGGATATATGGTCAGCTCCACAAACAGATAGACAGACAGACACAGTTCCTTCCTCAGCTAGAACACAGCAGCCGTGCATCGAGCTATTCATGGCCTTTTACGACGATAGCTGGTCTCTCAGGCAAGTGGCAGCTGCTCAACAGACAAACTCGAGGAACAAGTCGTAGAACAGAGTCGTGTGCCCATAGGGCTTAGGCTACTCCGTGGCCAGGGCGTGTTTCCTGCGATTCCCGGAAGTGACCGAACAGTCGAGTTTTCACAACAAGAAGTGTCAAAGTATTCAATGCCACTGTGAGATCACACCTTCGCTGAGTTCAAGTACCAAGTCTAGGCTCCGAACCAGAACTTCCTCCCGACCCAGCTAGACCTAAGACTCTACGCCTTCCCACATTTGCGGAACCTTGAGCTTTGCCACTGTCCAAAGGCAGAGGACCAGCCCCGATCCATCTCGTTCGGCAATGACCTCCCTTTGGGATGTAGGGCTGATTCTTCAATGATACGTGAATTAAGGTTTGGGGTGTAGGAGATATTTACGGCTTTCGCAGTCTTCGTTCGAAGTTGAGGGCACTGATGTGAGCGGTAGTTGTAGTATAGAAGCCTGAATAATTACCAATGATGCTCCTTGCGGTTCCCCATTGTAGTTGCACAAAAAGCCCAAGCCCTGCTCTCATTGTTCAGGCCCTTGTATTGGGATCGGAGGGAGATGCTCAAGAGCCAAGCTGCCAAACAGATACAGGGCTTCCGGTTGTATTAATAGTATTGCAGCACGACAAGTTAGCGAGCCCAGCCGACGACGTATCCCTAACGCTCATGCCAGTCCCTTGCCCTAAGCCTTTGCCGGCTGGCTTGAAGCAGCGACCCTCCAACTGCGCCCTCCCAACCGTAAGTCAGGCATGCTCACGGCATCCTAACCCGAAAGTCGGTCGTAAAGCCCAGCCGCGAACCTCCAAGTTAGGCCGAGGTTCGGCCCATGAGTTGTGATTGGGTGTGGCAGTCTGGCTGCGCCGAAAACACTGGCTGCAGGCAGTCGACCATAGCATTCATCTCAGCTTCGGAAGGCCCAACATAAAGAGCAGCAGTATCCTCGTAGTCATGATCAGAAGACTTTAGCCGCATCACCACTGTAGCTCTGTGCATTGATGGTCTTATTTCTGCCCGCACTGCTAACTCTCTATGGCCATTACGACCAGTACAGCTGCGAGTGCCGCAATTTCCAAACCAAGCCACTCAATCTGCAAGTGTGCTCACCATTCAGGGGCTCCGGAGCCATCACAGGCCTGTTTCTGGACTAGAGCAGCACCATTTTCCACCGGGGGACCCGGATCTGTCTCCTTCTTAGAGCCGATTGCCATCACGGCATCAACACCAAGCCCACACGACGTCACTTCTCAACGGAGCTCTTCTTTGAAGTGCCACCGAGACGAAGCAGCAAGACATAAGCCCGGTGTGTGCGACAAGTTCAATCGGATTTCTCTTTTCTCGCTAAAAGCCAAGCCTTCCTGCCCCAACTGCTCGGCTGCATGGGACCCCTTCGTTTCCTTGCCCCGGCGACCAATGCGAGCCAGACAGTTCCGGAAGCATCGTATGATCATGGGACGCCTGCAGGAAGGATAAACTACATTGAAGCCCAAGCTGCATCCCATGAACCCTTAAAAGAAAGAAAAGTGGGTTGTGCAAGACAGATCCGGCCATGGCGAGGTAAGATGCTTTGCCGGCAACAAACAGCTGTCCGTTGGAGTTTGATCCACTCCTGCTAAACCCTAAACTCACCACCCCCCGCCCCCGATCGGGAACTCTGCCCGCCACTTCGGTGAAAACGGAGATTTGTCTTAAGGGGATGGGAGTGATGCGCTTTGGGCTTGTTTTTTCCAGTCCTCAAGATTCATGGTTTGAGGCCCCAGGGTCGAAGTTTAAGAACAGCTGCGGGCTTGCAACGTTCCAAGGCTGGAGATAAGATGTAGCTACAGTTTAGACATGGGTATATGGGTATATGGGATACAACTCCCCCCTCAACCCCGCTCCCATCAATCTCCTAGCCCTCGACCCCTACAGACAAAGATCAGCACTCGCTGCAGATCGGGCTCAAGCGTTCTGTACTTCCTCCGAGCTGAGGATTTATTCAGTGCGCGTGGGCTTGCTTTTCCATGAAGGCGAGGCTTAACACGACCAGAGAGTCTGCCTTGTTGCCAGGGGGGGGGGGGTGTTCAAGTAGGCTGGTTGAGTCGGTGAGCCGGGTCTCGGCCTCAGTCTTTTCCACGACACTGTCGGAAAGTTTGCGGTCAACCCCATGCATGCAATGTTGCACGATCTTCAGCCCCGGCAGGGGAAGGCAAAGGCTGGCGGAAAGGGCTATGGCCAGGCTTATGGCTCCGGCTATGGCAAAGGCGGCAAGAGCTTTCCATCTCCTGCCAAGGGCAAGGGTAAAGGGATCCAGACTCTTGGTTCAGATCAGCATAGCTCGTCGGTCCTTGGACACTATTTGGGGGCGGTGTTTAGTGTCAAGTGTGAACATGTGATCGCTTACAGCACAAGAAGTAATTGCAAGTGATGGAACTTCAGGCTGAGGGTTAGCCGCAAAGTACATGTGCAGTGCCCACTGGGGTCGAAGCCCCGATTGCAAGTCTTGCGAACGTGTCCGCAGCTTGAGATGCACCAAGGGCAGAGGCAGCCAAAGGCAAAAGCAAAGGCAAAGGCGGCAACAGCAAGGGTGCATTTCCACGTGAAGAGGCCCCGCAGTGACTGGGGAAGGTGCTCAAGAAGTTAGATTTGCTGGCTTTGCCGGGAAAAGCTGCAGAAAGCCAAACACCTCGGCTGCCCACCTCGTGCAACATATAGAAGCCTGAATAGCTACCTATATTATTCCTCACCCGTAGTATCCAACTTCGGGCTCCACCTGATAACTATGCTATAATACAAATCCAATGATTGACAATGATTACTGCCCGCACACTAGCTAGATTCCCTCAATGTGTTTAGCGACCCTATGCGGCTTGAGGCAGGACGAAAAGTTCGTATTAGACGGACGAGAGACAGCGAACAGAGACGGTTTCTGGGAGTCGGAGAAATCGACTGAGACGACATAGTTAGATAGCTCCGTAGGGCCATTATAGGTGCATTGTCCGTACAACTACCCCGCCAAGATACTATCAACTACGGATGACACGGCTGCAAAGACAGTCTACGACCCCTTAAGCAATTCGTCGCCGCAACTTGACCGCGAAGGCGAAAGGAAAAGGCAAGAAAGGTCAGCGCCGACCGACCACCGCCCAAGGTTGGGTGGAGGCCACCAGCTGCACATAACGTAGCGACCGACCCGAAGAGATGGGTCGTTGCTTTCCTCCAAGAGTAACAGAGATACCTACACTGCAGACATCAGGTTTGGTGTTCGCAAAGATGTTACTGTGTCGGCAAAGCGGGTTAAAAGAGTGGCACCTTATCTAGGGGTCCATAGATTTGCCATCCTGGTACTTCGTTTTCTGAAATTCCCAAGCTTAGTGCAAAGACTCAGCTCCTTCAACAGTGCCCAGACAGATACAAAGCTCGTTGCAGAATGGTCGTACAGGCTCCTACCTTGAGGCAATCGGTATGCTGACAGGCAATGTCCGTGGAAGCAGACCCGGACAGAAAAGTCGAGATGATGGCGAGCAGCGCGTTGGCCGGGTGCTTACGGTGCATTCCCTGGTACATGTGTCCACAACCGTAGAAACTCAAACGAGCATGCGTTCAATGGGAAACTGCTGCAGAGGCAGAGTTGTAGTATGCAGAAGTGTGCTCCCCCGACTCTGTTCGCATTGCCCGGTCGCTGTAGTGTTGAAGGATAGATGTGCAGTAGCCCTGCGTTTGGAGCTTACCACATACGGAATCATGTAGAGGCGTAGGCCCAACCACCTCAAATGCGGCATGCCGTAACATGCACTTCTGCGTCGTTTCCGGTCCTTGTGGGTGCTCGAGAGTTGTGAATGTGCACCTGAGAAGCTGCTCGCAAATGGGTTCGCGCTGCATATTTTTCTCTGTGCGTGTGTGCGTGTTTATATACATATATATATATATGTATGTGTGTGTATCTGTATATATATATATATACATACATACGCAAATGCTGAGACAGCTATGCATCCATGCAACTAGCAAGCTGGAATGCCACCAGTCGTCGGCAAAACGTGGGATCGGAGTCCCGAAGCAAGTCATGAGACTCTTTTTGTCAGGTCCTTGCTGCAGGATTGCAAGAGCTCCCGTTGGCAAGCCTTCGTGCCCGAGCAGCCTTATTGTGCTTCAGCATCATTGTGCCGAGCAGGTGCCGGCTTCGGGATTCAGGAATTGTCTTTAGGGATTGTGTGTTTCCGCACGATATCTACAGTTAGGGTAGCATTGGCAGCCTCATCAACAATCGAATGGGCTGTGGAGCCTTAGCAAGAAAACTTTCCTAAGCCCGCCGTGTCGGATTTGGTACTCGTATGAGCATTCCGGGAGCTCGCCGTGTCGGATTTGGTACTCGTATGAGCATTCCGGGACTCTCTTCCAAGCACCAAGCCTTGGTTCAAAACTCGGGCAGCTGCAAGCTGGGTCGTTTGCCCCGGCAGAAATAGCTCAGTCTCTCTTGTGGGAATGCTTTGACAGTTTCGATCGATAGCCCAAACCCTTCGAATTCAAGCTTTGGGCTTTAGCCCGAAATAATCCAACCTCGGCACGCCAGGTCAGCAAAGGGTTTGGCTATGTTTCTCTTCGCTGGATTGTTGTGTGTTTAATGTCTATCACGTTGTGTCACTTCTGCCATGCTCTTTTTATCTGTACCCCAAACCACCAAATCATTCTCACCCCAGACTGCTTAGCATGAATGGGGCATGGGTTCGAATGTAGGACACTACTTCAACTGCTTTCTGAGCACAGCTCTGATCAGGAACTTTGACAGATACGATCAACGACTGCCAAGGGGGCTTTATTTCACAACGCTTGGACGCCTGGCCTGCAAAGGTGCTTTCGGAGTTTTAGCCTTCGGGATCGTAATTGTTTGAGTTTCGAGCCATGCGCTGCATGGCCAGAGTTCGGAAATTGCTTTCCCCATGGCCCGCACTTGAAGAGATGAGTCATGCGAGCACAATGCACTCTGAGAGTCCGGCCTGCCTCTAGGAGATCGCTGTCTGGTTGAGGTTGCTTTTAATTTTTCACCTGTCGGCACCAGGTTTCATTGTAATTCGAACCATACGGCGCTTTGAAGCCCATGCCACCAAGGACACGGCGCTGCAACAGTTGGCTCCAGCGTTGGTTCCCTGCCTCATGCGCAAATTGGCACCACAGCTGAGTACCGAACGGCTAGATGTGATGTGGCTCGGCTTCGATCCTCAGCGTGCAACCTCCGAGAGATTTCCTACGTTTAGATGCTGCAGACGGAACAAGCGCTCTGAACTACGGCCTCTCTGCAGTAGTACCACCTCATCCGTTTTAGGCAAACAGTGAAACATGTAGAGGCTGGAGCACGGTTCCTTTCGTTTGGGTCAAGACGTGGCCTTGCGATTCGGACGGAAGGTTTTCCTGTAATGCGGGTTGGGTCATGGGTCACGCAGCAATGCACGTCTTGAAGGCGCTTCATCGCAGCCTCGATCCCTACAGCCCTAGAGTCAGAACTCGGGCCGGTGTCATGCATCAACAGATCGAAGTGCCGAATGCCAAGATGCCTTACAAACTTCATACAAGTAACACGCCTCCTGTAGTCCTCGCTTACTGGAGACCTAAGGCTGAAGGTGTTGCAAAGGACCTTGCAGGCTGCATGGTGGGCTGTGACAAATACTACCATGTATAATCGGGGCAAGCGCCCAGAGATTTGGGGGACAAGGCTTTAGAGCTTGAGAGGCTTGATTACGGCCTCGACAGTGTTTCATAAAGTGCCGGGCTTAGACATGTTTGTAGTTGGGGGTTGTCTCGCTCTTGGGACTGCGGAAAGGAGACAGAGTCGGTGGCTGTCTTCTTTCTTGCGGGGTAGGGTTGGATTCAAGTAGCATTGGCCTATGGCTACAGCAGCCCGATATGCAGAAGATTGAAAGCCTCGGAGTAGGATTAAGTTTCCGGGCATGGTACCTTTTGACTGCGAAGCCGATGCGAGATGTTCGCCGGACCAGCGGTAGAATCGGTAGAAGAACCAGCAGAATCCTCTTCGCACGATGCTGCAATGCACGCATGCCATGCAGTGGGGCCTTTGCCCTGTTTCTGGACCGCAAAGGCACAGACCGGGCTAAGACTGAAGCATCATGGTCGATATTACTTTTCGCCGTGCTGGCAGGCTGAACCCACCATGGGCGCGGTCTTGAAAAACTGGAACAATATGAGCCCAGTGCAGGCTCGGCCGAAGATGAAGGGGCTGGAATGGCATTTCATGCTTCAACCGGGCCTCAAGACGGTATATGCACACTTGAATGACTTCGGTTTTTTTTACCGGGGGATTCAGTAGCTTTCCGTAAATTTGAAGATTGGGAGCGAAGATGCAGGGTTTTGCAAGGTTTGCTCAGAAAGCAGGTTGCCTTTTCCAGCCTAAGCATGGCCCCCAACCCCGGAAATCTCACAAGAAGCAGCAAGCAAGGCTAGGCCAAACAGCCCTAGTTCCTTAATCCTAGATCCTCCCTCACCAGGTTTCAATCCACAGACCCCTGGCGCCAGAATCTCTCTGTGAACTGCGCAGGCAGCTGTGCAAAGGCATGGGAGCATGTTCACCGCACAGCTACTTGGCATCCGAAGCTCAACCATCTCTGCCCCTCTGTTGGGGTGCCGTAGATTCTGAGAACATGAACTCATGAGTATAAGGGAGACCAAGGGCTGAAGGGATAGAGCTGCCCCCATGTGGATCAACTGAGGTATTAGCATGACCTAGAAACCTAGAAACTTGATGAGGCTGATCTGCTTTATTTATTTTCTGGTGGCTTGAACCAAATCTCAGAACAACATATGTCATGCCTGTTTCCCTGTCGTGCTGAAGGCTCTGGGAGCAAGTGCAAAATATGGCAGACCAAGGCGTTGCCTGACGAGAAAGCTTGGGCTACTGCATGACGGGTTTTGGCCGGGCTTCGGGATGTTTCTGAAAGTGGATGTCGTGAGGGTTCAGCAGGCTACGGGAACGATGCAGTTTTGTGCAGGCTGGTGATCTGAGACTGCATGGCCTCTGATCTGTTGTCTACTTCAGCCTCTATATAAACTGTTCATCGTCTTTTCTGGGCAACTGTTTCAAGTCATCGAAACTGCACTGCTATTTGGGGCTTCGGGGGCTAGCTCAACTGCCACCAAGTCCATAAGCAACTATTCGAAGTGCACTGTGAAGCGACATTCGATGCACTTTTGTAGGACCCACATGCATCAGGATTCGCAAAAAGAAACCGGCGGAACTGAGGCCAACGCGCCTTTGCGATCCGTGGTGCATGCTCGAGCTCGAGAGCAAGTTCGAACTGCAAATGCCTTGGAGCTTCGGCCATGCACCTGCTGAGTAATTGTTGCACGCACTGGAACTTCAGGCCCATGCAAATGACACGCATCTGCGTTTGCTTTACTTGTGTGCCCCTTGGTTCTTATCAATGTCATACTAGTCGGCAGGGTGCTCTTCACGAACCCAAAGCCTTACTCGCATATTCCCAAGTCAGAGGAAGTCTCAATCCCTCGAAAATCTTCAGTTTGCGAATGTTTGAGGACTTGCCGGACCCGTTCGAGGTCGACATATTGCCGACCTTTGAGGACACCGCTGATTCCAAGTGCTACCAACAGCCGTGCGATGCTGCGAGTGTGCGCGACCCCATGTCCCAGCTGTACACCAAGAGGAGCTTCCGAGCCGCCACAGAAAGCCTGGCACTACCGCCCCAGCTGCACGTAGGAGCTCCTCCGAACGGATGGGAGGCTGCCGACCAACCGAGACCTGCTGGCACTATGACAATGACATCGGAAATGAATAATAATATGATGATGATGATGATGACGAGGATGTCGTTCATGATGATGATGTTGCTCAAGACGATTATGGTAAGAATGTCGAAGAAGCAGAAGATGAAGGTGATGATGACGGGATATGATGATTACGACGGCAACAACAAGAGCATTATTAGCATTATGAAGAACAAGACAATGATGATGGTCATGTCTAGGTTTAGGGGTTAGGGTAGTCTAAGATTCCCACGATGCCACTCCTTAAAGGCCCAAGCCCACTCAAACAATCCTAGAGAAGGCCGAGACTCCTCATGGGTCCTGAGCCATGTAAAATCTGCAGTCGAGCTGCTGCCTGCCCGGTGTTTCCACCTGCAGGCAAGCCAGTGAGAACCATACCCCCTTGCAGTCCCTATGTAGCAAAATGAACAAATCCCCAAACCAGAGTCCATCCTAAGCCCTAAACCCTACAACCTGAATCCTGAAACCCTGTTCCAACTCCTAAGGCGCCTGTATTGTATTGCACCTAAAAGGCACGGAGCAGGAGGCGGAGGGATGTTGATGTTGGTGACTTCACTACTACTAATGTCCCGTAATTGTAGCCGCAGAAGCAATGGCGCTTACGATGATATGTATGTCAGCAACAAGTGGACTTGAAAAGATCGGCAACAATGACGCTGCTGCCGCTGCCGCTGCCGCTGCCGCTGCTGCTGCTGCTGCTGCTGCTGATTATGGTGATGATGATGGCGAAGGCTATGACTTATGGTGAAGGTGCTGACGAGATGAATGATAATGATAGTAGTAATCCATATGTGTTCGTGATTGTTAGTTTTCATTGTCTATCATAATATTAGTAGAAATCGTCGTACCAAATGAAGTAGAAACATTAGCGCAATAGAACTAGTGTCAGACATGGCAACGGCGATAGCAGCAGCAACAACATCAGCTGTAACACCAGCAACAACCAGAGTATCAACAGCAACTGTCACCATGCAGATGAAGAAGATTTTGTGTTGTTGCTGTTGATGTTGCTGTTGATGATGATGATGATGACGATGATGTTGATCATTATGCTGCTGCTGCTGATGATGATGATGATGATGACGATGGCAGTGATGATGAAGATGAAAATGATCGAGGATGGTTTGCTTTCTCACAAGGCAGATTCCTAAAATGATGATGAAACAAGGAAGCAGAGAGGAATAATATCGTGACGATGCTGATGATGGTGATTATGGTAACGGTGATGGTAGTGATGATGCCGATGGTGATGATGGTTGAGAAGACGAGGTCTGCTTCCGACCCTCGATAGCTTGTTTCCAGCCGACACAAGCTCGTCCTGAACTCCTGATCTGTGCACTAGTTCTATAGTAGTAGTCCTCGTAGTAGTAGCAATTGGAGTGGTAGTGGCATTAGGAGCAAGAGCAGGAGTAGTAGCATAGGAGGAGGATGGCAAGCTGCATGCAGCAGCTAGAAACATCCGGACAACACCCATCGATGTAAGCCCTCAATATTCTTCTCTTCGCATAGCTCAGGCGATGGCAGCTGGGATGCTGACTCTGAAGAGCAGCTCTACAGGCATGATTTCAGGGTAGGACAGTAAGCAGGCCGCCAACGTACATGTCGAAAGCTGCAGGTGTAGGGTATGCGAAGACGCACACATTCAGGACAAAGGCTTTGGCAAGCTCGCCTTGTATACCCTTGCATGCTATTTTGGCCAGAGCTTTCTACTCAGTTTGGTTTGCAGGTTTTCAATCTGGACTCACCCTATGCTGTGCGCACAATCCTTCCTTCCAGGTCCTGGTCTTCACATATATTCGGCAGTGTTCACGTTTGTGTCTGTGTGTAGGGGGCTCGTCTTGATGTATGTATGAGCTGATGCGTTTGGGTTCAAATTTCACAATGGCGCTTGTACTCTGCCATGACATAGGATTGAAAGCCTCCGGATCATCCGATTTATGTAGATGGTGCTGCGGGCGGGACGATGCTTCGTCCACCTGGCTTCGCTCGTGTAGATGCAACAGAAATGAAGGCTTGCGATCAAGCACAGGGTTAGCTCAAGGACATGAGGCCTGGCTGCCGACCACAAGTAGATTGTATGTCTTGCAAGACTTCTGCATGCAGGCAGACGCATTTTCTGCTGTACAAGGACAGTGGGCTTCAATGCAGGTTTTGGAGCCCCTTACGACTGTTTCTCTGACTTACTGATGCGCTTGCACAGCCTAACTCCAGTCCGCTCGATCCGTTCGGGGAGACTGCAAGCTGCTTTCCGCACAACTGCTTGCACTTTCTTCGATGCGAGACTCGTCAGACTCGTGTAGCTGTAGTGAACTTCACCAAGAACTGCAACGTGTTGGCATGACTTCCAGAACGCATCAGACCCATGAGTACTTCAGCAGCATTTGCCTGGACATGCCGCTTCAGCTGGAGCACATGACTGGAAGTTTCGGTTGTTTGCTTCATTCATGGCTGTAAAGCCCGGAGCTCAAACGGCGACAAGAGACACAGCATCGCTGGTGCATCGTCGCGTATTGCTGTTGTTGCCCTTTGTACGACTTCGGCTGAAGCCCATTGAAGAGGTTTTACATAGTGTTTGGGGCTTTCGAGGTTGGGTCCAATCGTGACGGGAGAAGTAGAGGGTTTAAAGCTCATCCATACTGAGTTTGATGCTGTGGCAGGAAGAGCTGTTGGCGCCGTTGCGTGAAGCTGTGGCTTCTTTTCTCTCTCAGAAAGCCGGCCACGGCCTCACCGAAAGACTGACAAGTTTGCTGTCACGGTTAGCTCCTCGGCACTCGTTGCGATGTGTTGCACAAGGGCCGATTGAAAATGGCAGAGAGTGCTAGATACTCGAATACCATCTCATACTACTATGCGTTATCATGAGTTTTCGTGGTTTTCGTTCAAGCAGTTTAGGAGTTTCCAGATGAGTGCCCGGTTCGGACAGTTACTTCTTTGCAACAAGGTGTCATCTACAAAATCGGCGAAGCCCGTCAACTCAACGTTCTATCCGAACACGCGGGCGGTTGACTTTGCCGTGTCCAGCAACAAGAAGCCGATGCTGCAGCTACAGTTCGAAACCGGCGGCAGGAGGATTGATTTCTCCTTGGGCAGCCACCTCATCCATGGCAGTTTGGTGATCCTGTTCGAGACAAATTCACAGCAAGCCCCCTTACCGGACTCAGCGATGTATGCCGTGGTTGAGGAGTTCGACCTTCGTCAGGCGACGCACCGGAATGTGGTTGGAGTATCATTCCTGGACCCTGATGACCTTGGTCGCTTCAGCATCAGCAAGAAGCAACTTGGAGTCAAACGGGTTGACCTCAAGTTTTTGCAGTCCTTTTCAGTATGTACTTGAAGTGATTGCAAAACCTACAACATGCCCCCAGCACCAAGTGCCTACTCTCAAGCCGCGCTTTGCCGCGGTTCGGTGTTCAGATGCTTGCAAATGCAGGATGTTCGTATGACCCAGCTTGTGCAGCAGCTGGTGTTCGTCATACGATTTGGGGTGATGAGTGATTTTTCAGGCTGAAGCCCTCCATTCGTTGCATGCAGCAGTTAGGACCTATGATTTAGCGTTGGGTTCAGCTTTGCTGGTGTCGAGTTCATTGGCTGCAACGATGGCCAGTGTGACAGTCTTTGGGTTCCCAACAAGCTTCAATGTCAAGACGCCATGTAGGTCAGGACGAAATGCTGAACAGGGGATCAGCCACAATCCTTGCGTGCTTTGAACTCTTGTTTGTCCTCACTCGTAATCCAAAGCCGGCCGAAGTCACTGAAGCATGTCGTCCCAGGTATGTCATGGTCGAAAGCCCCGCTTACTTCCATGCGATTCGTCCCGCATCTCGCTATGATGAGCTTTCAGTCGGGATGTACCATTGAGGTCGCTGTTGTTCTTAGTTGTCTCTTGGTAGTAGCATTATGCTATGGTTACTTTGCTCAATGATGTAGCCTCTTCTCTAACTATCAGCTTTGCGGTGAGTGCATACATTGGTTGCCCTTGTCCGAATCTGAAAAATCAGCTAACACGGCGCAAAGATGTCCATGCTTAGATTCTGCGGATCATTGGGAGCTCAGGATACTCGTAGGATACCTGACAGGTGCTGGAGTGGCTCCAAAACCCAGATCGTTTGCATAACATGCAGCTGAAGCACGACTTGTTATCAGGCCGGGCCAGCCAGATCCCAGGAAACCCGACAAACCCTAGACAGTGGTGGTCTAGCCTGTCCCGCTTTGCCAGGCGTCCGACGAGAGCGGGTCGAATTCTTGCGCGGCGTCCAGGTTGACATCTCCTGTCTCTACAAAAGACAGGGCGGTTTGGATGTAGAGCCTGGTCCAGGATGTGCGGTTCAGGTTTCAGGCTCAGGAGTTTGTCCAGTCGGGTTGAGGTCGTTGGGCTTGTTGGTGAGAAGTATCAGCGTAAGCAGCAGGATTGTGGGGCCGCATGTGTTAGACCAGGCTTACAGGTTTGCTGTCTGCAGCCCGTTTCCCTACCCATTGGCCAGTAAAACGTGTTCCGAAGCCACCCACTACCTCCTGTCCGTCTTCACCTCACAATCGAACATATTCAAGCTGTCGCACTCTGCGAGCATCCCACGTAACCACCAACAGCCAACATTGAAAATAATCCTTTGTTTTGGGGGATCTAAGGGTTGATTCTTGGTCCCTGCAAGGAGAGCTGTCGCCGAAGGAGAGCTGGAAAAGCCGAGATCCGCTGCAGCCCTGGCCGGATCCGCAGGACAGTCTTTGGTTTGAGGCAGTTTGAAGATGATCCCGAGCGACGGTCTCAAGCCCTACTTCAAAACATGGGCCGGGCAAGCGCAGCATTCTTTTGCGATGTGCCATGTCATCCTGCTCACTGTTTGCCTGCAGTTTGTGCAACGGATTTACCGCGGTGGCGGAATGCTTCAGGTGTGCAGCTTGAAATCCTTTGAAGCCACAGTAGAACATGAACAGTCTGGCAAGGGTTAGTCGAATGGGAAGACATAGTTTCCTTCGACACAGCAGAGACGGGAACGGGGTCCGGAGGACATCGAGCTTGACCCTTCGCAGCAGGAGGCTGGGATGACAGGTTTCCATAGCATGGGAAAACGGGAGGAGACTGAGCCAAGTGAGCCTCGGTAGCCGGGTCATGTAACGTGTTCGAGCGCCACTAGTTAAATGCGCGAAGTTTCGACAGTACGGTCCGAAACATTTAGTTCAAGGGCCGGGCAGCTCCGTGCTATCTGTTCGATACTGGTGTCGATTCTCGCTCACACGCATGCTTGCTTAAAGAATGCCCTTGTGCGTCATGGCAAACGGCTGGCGCACAGATGCCGCAGTGTTTGTCAACAAAGGATGCCTCACCGGTGCTCCTCGTAATCCTTGATTCTCGGTGGGTATGCGCAAGGAATTTAACTGCGTCAGCAGAGAACCTGCAAATCCTTTAGGAGTTCGCCCAGCGTGCCTCTCGAATTGTTTGCGATCAGTCAGCTTGTACAAGAATTCCTGCGTTGAATCAACAACACGTCGTCAAGCAGAATCTCAGGCGTCCGTTGAGGGTGTTGATTTCCCGGCTCGCCGCTCAATTGGGAGTAGCCAGCATCCTTCGAGTGTTAAGGCCCTGGAGATTCTTTGGCCCTTCGACTCTTCGACATTGCTTGAGCACGATGGTGAGCCCACAGCAATCCAAGCCCGAACCAACGAAGCCACCACCCGCCATCCAGGCGATGAAGCATATTCTTCGCAGCAGTGTGCCACTAGCAGCTCAGCTGAGACATATCGCAGTCGATGCAGAGATTCTCAGTGTGAGCAGCAGAGATTTTCTGGTAATCGTGCTGTCAACTGTCGCAGAAGTTAAAGCCAACCAAATCTACAGACACAGCTCCTCAATGTTGCCTGCAAAGAAACACGAGCAATACAAGAAAAGGAGCGCAAACTTGCCTTCTTTGCGTGTGCAGTGGACCCAGTGCTTCATGCATGCGGAAGGTACAGGGACCACCTGGCACCGGCAAGTCCTACATAGGAGCCTGGGCTCAGAATCGCGGGATCCTGGCGCTTTCGAACTTCAGGCTTCTTGCTTCGTGCTTGTTCGAGACATAAGAACACCTTCCATGATTCCAGGCCTTCTAGGCTTTGCTTGGGCGATGGCAGAACGTAGTGTTTGGGGTTGTGGATAGAATGTGCACGGAGAACAAGCCTGTTCGGTCTTTCCTGTTGAGTCTGCGGCGACCGGCAGCTCAAACCTCACAGTCGATAGCCAACATGACAACTTCGGAGTATTCTTTCAAAGAACTGCAGTCCGGATCCAACTTGCTTACGCCGTCTGAAGGCCTGAGGAGACTCAGAAATGCATGTTTCCGACATCCCGTAGAGGGCGCGCCAGAGTGATTGAGAAATTTGCCTGAGCTGCAGCCGCAACGATCCCAGATGCCCCAATGGATTGTACCCACAAGGGATGGACAAGCTTTGATGCTTGGGGCCAAGCTACTGCCGACAGTTCAGGAGTGAAAGCAGTACAGATCCTGCGCCAGGCACTGGACAAGAAGGCTCCACCTCATGCCACACAGGTGTTATGTAGGGTCGAAGCTTACTTGTGATCCGATTTCTCAGCAGGCCTCAGATGAATAAACATACAAGCCTGTACTTGCTACATGTAGGAAGTAATATATGGAGATGGCGGGCTGGCTGGATGGATGGACGGATGGATGGAATGTATTTATGTATTTATGTGTTTATGTGGCTATGTATCTATGTATGTATGTATGTATGTAAGTATGTATGTATGTATGTATGTATGTATGTAAGCATGCATGTATGTATGTATGTATGTATGTATGTATGTATGTATATACGTATGTACGTATGTGTATCTGTGTATATATATATGCGCACACACACACACATATTCTGATATTGAGATGAATACCACTGCTACCTTGATTGATTAGGTAGCATGCCGATGTAGCGCCGCATTTTGGAAGAAGTACTTGAACTGGCCGCAGAGCTCCGCGTCGCACTCTGGGTGTGGGATTCTCGAGTGTTGACCGATGCGCTACATCGTGACGAGCATGCAGCTCAGTAACCATTCGCTGGCTTAGTCTCATCTTTTCCGCCCGTGTCCTTTGCCGTTGTAGCTGTAGCAGTCAGGGCTACAAGGAGCCCATCGTGCTGGTTTGCTTGACCAACCACGCCTTGGATCAGTTCTTGGAAGATCTGCTGGACCTCTTCCCCGACACTCTGGATCGACTTAATTTGGGCCAGGGTTAGCATTTAAAAACACCCTTCACATTCTGAGTAGATTCAACAGGACCGTGATTTCTCTCCCCAGCTTAAAGTGGCATGTCGAGCCCTGAGCCCTCAAGTTCTGGAGCTCAGAGCCTTGACGCCCTGAGCTCGCAAGTGAAACAAACCCGGAAAGACCGCATCCCAGGGCAGGCTCATCCGCTTCGGAGGCGCTGGCAGGGTGCGGAGGAGAAGGATTTTTGTGTTTCAATTGCAGGGATGCTTTGCAGCTCTCGAGTTCAGCACGGATCAGAGAGCTCCAACAGAATTTTCCGGCTGGCACCAAAGCAAATCCTCGCACATTGCATGTTGGTTTTTTCGCAGACGATAATGCCAAGCCTCAGCAGTCCCAGCGCTGCGTTCGTTCGCCACGGGCCATACCAACACTAGTATCAGTCTTAGCATCAATCTGAGCATTCCTGTGAGGAACGCCCTCGACCTTGCGTCTTGCATCTTGAATTCAATGATGGAGCGATTCACGTCTGCGCCAAACCACCGGAAATCAGCAAGAACGCATTTACATTGCTGCTAAACCCTCAAGCTTCAATGATGCGCAGGTCGCACGAAATCGGAAGATGCCCGTTTGCTGGGGTGCATGGTCCACCATCACATGCGCGGCTCCAAGGACGACTTTATTGACAGGCCGGCGGAACCCAGCGCTCTTGGGTTGTGAAATGTCGGAATTCTGGGAGCGAGTCCGCGTACCGCGGTCTAAGAAGCCTTCCAAATCTTTAGCAACATCTCGAAGCTAGAAGGTCTAGACTTCCTGCATAACAGTCTTCAGAGCCTGCGTGCACTTTCTGGACTCCCTACACAGCAACTTCTAGACGGTATACGTTACGAAGTGTACCAAAAACCCTGAACCCAGGGTCCCCGCTTGACGCCTCAGCAGGAAGACACAGGAGGAGAAGTTGGAGCTAAAGGTTCAAAGCCTGCAGAGCGTGCTGCGGTCTGTCGCCACTCTGAAGGGACAGGCGGGGGAGTCCAGGTTTATCAGGTTTACACTTGTCGCTGTCCCCACGGTGTGCCGTGTGCCGCCTACTTCGCAGACTGCAGCCCCCAGCAGTGCAGCCTTCCATGTAGACAGTAGCTTTAGGCCTCTTGCATTTAGTTTCGAATTGATGGCATCCTAAGAGCACCAACCTATGCAGCGACACCGCTGTGTGGAGTTCTTGGCAAGGCTTCTTACCTCGAAGGCCCAGCAAATTTGGCTTGTCCAGGTGCGGTTGTTGATCACTGGCCTTAGCATCGATGGCCTGGTCCAGCTGTTGGAATCTATCGGAACCGAGGACCCTCAGAAAATGGTTAAGAAACACGGAATGCCGCAGCAAAATCGAGACTGGCCCCTTGCATTGCGAAAGCTGAAAGGCATCTTAGGTTTGGAGTCTGCTCTGTGCGGCTTTCTAGGCTGGAGGTCACCCTAAACGTCAGTTGGCAGTGATGGTCCTGTAATGAGTCTCATAACAGCCGCTCGATGAGCTAGGATCTTGCACTGCAGCCTTCTTGCTCATCTTGCGGTAGGATGGTGCGGAAGACCCAAAGGTTCAAGTCACAAAGGGTTCTGCGGTTTCCGAAGAGCAGTGCACGCGCATCAGGAGCTAGAGTACGGAATGTTCTATCAACCTGATCCTGCTCGGCGGGCCTCGCCGGCCCGAAATTTTATTTTGTGGGTGCTGCACAGTAGCTTGGCTCGATTTGACCGGTAACTCAGTGCTTCGCAGCTGTCAGTGTCGGATTTTAGTCTTCTGTCCTCGAGTCAGATGCAGACCAAAGGGGCAAGAGTGAAAACCTCGGCACTGACCTCTTCCTCTGCTACAAAACCAGGAGAAGCTCATGACTGATTGACCGGGAGGGAAGAGGCACATCCTCAAACCCAAGCAGTCAGCTCTGAAGGCTTTCCAAGTTTAGGAACAGTTTAGCTTCGACTCGGCTCGTTTCTCTGACAAGCTTCTGAGGGAGGTGTTGGCCCTGAGCCCAGCTTGAGGTTGTAAGACCTGCGGCTGTCGCTTTCAAAGCTCGAAACAGGCGAACCTAAGAGAGCCAGAAGCGCCGCCCCCTCCGAACTCTTTGCCTTGCAGCCAAGGCTGGGCCGAGGGTTGGTCCCTGCAAGACACCCAGGCCGAGGTGGGGCCTCGGAGCATTATTAAAGACATTTTCCGTACACTGAGCCTTCATAGTGCCAGAGTTAGGACTTTGGCCAGCCAAGACCCGCACCGTAAATGTTTGGTGAGGTCGACGCATTGGGCCTGGCAGTAAAACTGCTCCAGGGCCAGTGTAGCCTCAGACGATGATAGATACTGTGCGTGACTCTATAGTCTCTATAGCGAAGCTTTGAAGCGAGTCATACCACATCTTTGGATGTATGCGAAGCGGCGATCCATTTTAGGGGCCGCTCTGGCAGCCCAAAAATCACCCAACACATGGCCAAAGACACTCGAGATCGGCATCAATGAGCCTGAGGCTAGACTCTACGGTACACAAGCAGAGTCCTAAGCACTCCATCCGTTGTCGGCTGGTCAGCTTTCTGGAGTGGAGGGACCTTGCCCTGGATCAAGGTGCAGGTACCCAAATACAGGACCTCTGCGCAAGAAGTGGAGATCCACAATCGCTTTGCGGTGCTGGGGGAGGCATGCCAGGGTTGTTGGAATGTAGAGACTAGAGGTCTGAAGGAAGATCTACACTGAACTTTCTGACTGTCACGCTGAAGTTCGGGAATATCAGTTTGTTGGGGGTTATCATTTCAATGCTGCTCTGCTTGAAGGTGCATCTTGGCAACGCTTCTTTGTTGTGTAAGTGAAATAAGGGTTTGAAACTCAGAAGCTTCTGGAATGCTTCAAAAGGCTATTTGTGCCCACGGCGCCGGAACAGAATGCTCTGACTTGTTTGCATTTCGCTTCCTGATGTTCAATCTTACCGGCTCTGGTGTTCGTTCGGATTGTCTCTGGAGTTCCGTCCTGATGGTAATGACGAATCTGAGGTTAGTATGCAGGTGTCATGCCAAGGAGTTGTCATGCTTGGTTTCGGATATCAGGGCTATTGCTTAGCGCTTCAAATGCCGGGTCTCTAAGACCGATCTGGTCTTCTGAAGTCTCCGGAACTCTTGAGAGTTTGCCCTGGCTTTCGGCTCCGTCCCCGCTGTCATGAAAGACTTGATTCCTTCATGTCTGAGAGGAAGTTGCCTCCGATTCGTAAGTGCTCGTTTGTAAGTACATGCTGTCAATGCAGCAGTACCTCACCGAGCGGATTACTGAGGCTTAGTCTTCTTACAATGTCAGAGCTGAAAAATTCACAGAAGCCTAACTCATGATGCAACTTCCTGACGGTATTAGTTGCTGCCGAGGAAATAACGGTTGTGGGCCGCTTGTGAGGACCAGCAAACCGCAGACTGGGCGCGCCCGCTGGACGACGTCGACAGATTGATTGGCCGTACTCCAGCGATGCTTCCCGGCTGGAACAAGTACACTGTTGTTCTGGAGTACAGCGTCTCCTGAAACTTGAGCTCAACTCATATGTGGAACCACGTGTATCTCCATCTGTACAGGGCTGCAGTCGCGAGCGATGTCGTTGTTGCTTCCAAGGCCTGCTCTAGAGTGCAACTCCACAATATGATACCCGCCACGTAAGGCAATATCCGTTACAAATGTAGCAGGTGGTTGTGTTTAGCCACGTGCAGTACTCCCGAGCGGGGCAGATGCAAGCTGGGGCTTGCAAAGCTCCCAGAATTTGGGTATTGCAACTACGTTTTTTTGTAAGCGGCGCCCAAGTAAGCCCCAAAATACTGAGAAACACGCTACCACCATATGCACACCGTGGCACAAGGGTCACATCCGGCTCTTGGTGGGGGCAGTCGGACTCCGAAGAAGACGAGGAGTGGATTGTGGGGGGGTGCAGCCACGGGCACATGTCGCCTGATTGAGTTATCATCATCCTACTTACCATCAGGCCTACAACGAGATCTTACTGATGTGTTGTGGCATTCCATCTCCAGGGCTCGCACAACTTTGCTGCCCGGTTCTGACTATGTCGGCCTGCATTGCATGCGCATGGGCCGCATTTTTCTTCACTCTCGGGTTGGCTGTGCAGGAGGACGACGACTTGGATGACGAGGAAGTGGAAGCTGTCTTGGACGACCGCATCGAGCAAGGACCGTGCTCCGAGCGTGCTATGGTCTCGGGCGGATCCTCAATTCCAGACATTTCCAGACGACCCAGCATCGATAATGTAGGACCGACCAGCGGAACGGACACAATGGTGACACAACGGTTTGCTTGAATTTCCGTGTGTGTGTGTGTAGTGTCTGTCTGTCAGTCTGTGTGTGCGTCTGTCTATATGTCTGTCTGTCTGTCTGTCTGTCTGTCTGTCTGTATGTATGTATGTATGTATGTATGTATGTATGTAGTAATGTATGTAGTAATGTATGTATGTATGTATGTATGTATGTATATGTAGATGT